CCATATACACAGCTGGATTTCACGGAATACAATGCGGATGAACATTCGAACTCCTAGGGTTTGTCTACTGACGCATTTGGTGGCCGAGAGTGGATGTGCTATTATTTTAGTTGCTTTTCCTCCTTGGTCTTCCTGCTGAACGTGGCCGAGCGCAAGTTGCCACCGAACATTTTTGTTGCCAGATTTTAAAAATTTTAGCCGCGATCACACTTTAACTTGTGTATCTACGATCCTCAGGCTTTCATTGGCGAATGTTAATGACCATATTGTCATTGTGTAAAAAATATCAAGTAATGTCAAAAGGTTATCAGTATTACTTTCCTCATTATCATTAAAGTAAACTTTCCAGGCTAACGGCTTTGCTAAAAGGAACGACTACAATAAATTGGACTTTTACTGTCTTACGTACCTGAGCGGCGGAAACCGTTAGCCATTGGCTTTGCTGCGAGCCAGGCTGGTCTCCTGACCTCGTGACATACGTGCATGGCAGAAATTGCGCCGAGAACGAGGTTTCCTGGCCTCCCGGCGAGGCCAGCTTTGGCGGAGATAAAGCAGGCGGAAGCAGAACGTAGGCCATTGATCCCTCCGTTATGGCGCCGCATCCTAGACCCACCCTGCAATCCTCCCCGACTCTGACGAAGGACTTCGCTCTCCGACCTAAACCTCCTCGCCCGAAACACTCAGTAGAGGGACGAACACAGACAAATGCACACGCATCTTACTCACTGTCTTAAGACAAACACCTAATGATTGTATTCATATTATTATAGACAATGGTCTTGCACTTAATATGATTAGTGATATTAATTTTTTTGCCAACTAGATAATATGTGAATAATTTTAGGACAAAGGCACAACTCTCCAGGCTTGTATAACACCTTTCATTGGCAGCACAATACTTAAATATAACCACTGCCCATTTCCATGGATTCTAAAGCATCTTACCTGTAATATATATATAGTATATATATATATATATATTATATATAATATATATATATATATATATATATAATATTAAAAACTCTCTCTTCTCTCTCTTCTCTCTCTCTTCTCTCTCTCTCTCTCTCTCTCTCTCTCTCTCTCTCTCTCTCTCTCTCTCTCTCTCTCTTCCCTCCCTCCTCCCTCTCCTCCCTCTCCCTCTCCCTCTCCCTCTCCCTCTCTCTCCCTCTCTCCTTCTCTCCTTCTCTCCTTCTCTCTCTCTCTCCCCTCTCCCTCTCCCTCTCCCTCTCTCCCTCTCCCTCTCCCTCTCTCCTCTCTCCCTCTCCCTCTCCCTCTCTCCCTCTCCCTCTTTCTCTCTCTCCCTCTCCCTCTCTCTCTCTCTCCCTCTCCCCCTCTCCACACACAACACACCACACACACACACACAACACACACACACACACACACACACACAACACACACACACACACACACACACACACACACACACACACACGCACACCTACACACACACCTACACACACACACACCTACACACGCACACCTACACCTACACACACACACACTATACACACACACCTACACACACACACACCTATACACACACACACCTACACACACACACACCTACACACACACACACCTACACACACACCACACCTCACACCTACACCACACCTACACACACACACCTACACACACCACACCACACACACACCTACACACACACCTACACACACACCTACCACACACCACACACACACACACACCACACCCACACACACACACACACACACCACACACACCACACACACACCACACCCACACACCTACACACACACCACACACACACACACACACACACACACACACACCACAACACACACACACCACACACACACCTACACACCACACCTACACACACACACCTACCACACCACACTACACACACACACACACACACACTACACTACACACACACACCACACACCTACACACACACACACTACACACACACTCACCTACACACACACTCACCTACACACACACTCACCTACACACACACACCACACGCACACCACACACACACCACGCACCTACACACACACCTACACACACACCTACACACACACCTACACAAAACACCTGCCACACACACACACACACACACACACACACACACACACACAACACACACACCAACACCACACACACCACACACACACACCACGCACACACACCTACACACACACACATACACACACACACGCACGCACACCACACACACACACACACACACACACACACACACACACACACACACACCACACACACACCACACACACAGACACACACCTACACACCTACACACACACACATACCCACACACACACGCACACACACACACAACCACACACACACACACACCACACACACACACACACACACACACACCTACACACACACACACCTACACACACACACACCTACACACACCACACACACCACACACACACACACACCTACCCACACACACACCTACACACACACCACACCTACAACACACACACACACCACACACACACACACACACACACCTACACACACACACCACACACACACACACACACACACACACACACACACACACACACACCACACACACACACACACACACCACACACACACACACCACACACACCTACCACACACCTACACACCACCTACAACACACACACACACACACACACACACACACACACACAACCACACACACACACACACACACACACACACCACACACACACCACACACACCTACACACCTACACACACACCTACACCACACCCACACACACACACACCTA